AAAAAAAATATTTTTTTTGTTGCCCCATAAAGTATGGGGGGGCGTTTGGGGGGGGGGGGTGTAGGGAATTGGGCTTTGCTTTGGGTCTTTAGGATCCCTTCACTTTTTAAAATTCTTTTCCTATATGGACCTTGTTCTTGCTAACCTTTAGAATATAACTGTTGACATGCTACATAAAGCCTGGTGTAGTGCAATGTTGAAACAGTGTAAAACATTAAAATACCAATAGGCTAAAAATGAGAGGAATACAGGTAGACCTCAACTTACAACACAATTGGGACTGGAATTTCTGTTGCTAAGTGAAGTGGTTGTTAGGTGAAACGTCACATGCACCACTTAGCGACAGCAGTTCCAGTAGTCCCAGTTGCTGTTGTTAGGCCAGGACAGTGCGGTCATTAGGCAAAGACCTCATGCTTTTTCTGCCCTGCTGTGCTCACCTTTGCTTCAACTCCCCCAACCCATCTATCTCCCCCCACATCTCTGCCCTTTTGGCTTCCCCGCACTTTGCCGCCTACCCCTGCCACCCCCCACTGCCGCAGCTGACCCAGGATCCAGGTGCTGGGCAAGGGTACAGGCCTGTGATGTGAGCGGTGAGCGTGGCAGGATGACAGAGCCTGGTCTGCCAAAAGGAGCTTGCCAGGCCCAGCTGGGGAGGAAGCACCGGGACAGTGAGGCGTGGCGCTCTCCATTGCCTAGTGAGGCAGAAGAGCTGGCAGCAGCTCCCTGGGTGAAGGCGGAGGCTGTGTGGGAGGCACTGTTTGTGGTGGTGGCAGAACTGGAGGAAGTGGAGGGACACAGACTTCCCGGAGGTGCAGCGTGCACTCTGCAGCTTGTGTTGGAAGCGCTACTGGAAAACCACTCTGTGGGCTTCTCGCTGTCAGCCCAGTCTTCCTCTGCAAAGTCTCATGAAGGGCCAGCAGCTTCCAATGAGCTGAAGCCCACAGACTGGTTCTCCAGGGGTGCTTCCAGCATACATTCTATAGCTTTGGAAGACCTCAGAAGCTTTCCAAAGGCTTTCTGAAGCATTGTGAGAACAGGGCGCACTATTTGGAGAATGGCAGGTGCGCCACTCTCGCAATGCTTTGGAAGACCTCAGAAGCTTTCTGGAGGCTTTCTGAAACATCTCAAGAACAAGGCATGCTATTTGGAGAATGTTGTTAGTGGCCTCGGGAAGAAGGTCTGGTAGGGCCAGCAGCTGGCTTGCATAAGGCAGGCTGGTCGTGTTTCGTCAGCAGCTGGAGGAAGACAGTGAAGGTCAGCTGGACACGGCAGGGCCTGTGGAGTGCAGGGTGGCAAGGTTGGCTGGGGTTTGCACTGTGGCGCTGGGATGGCTGGCTGTGGCATAGGGCTTGAGGCGGCACTCCTCAGCAGTGGTGCTGGCTGCGCTGGGACTGACATGGAGCTTGGGGGTGGCGGGGGCCAGCTGAGACTGCTGAAGGCCCCAGGCCTCTAATTCAGCCCCAGCACTGCTGCCACCACCAAGGAATGCCACTGTGCCGGGTGGCCTAAAGGACAGAGATGGGGGGGGGGAGATAGGTGGGTCAGGGGAGTTGCAGCGCCCCTGCAACTGTAAGTGCAGGCAGGCTGCCAAGCACCCAAATTTTGATCACATAATTTCAGGGGTACTGCAATGGCTGTAACTTTGAGGACTGGTCGTAAGTTACATTTTTCAGCACCATTGTAACTTCGAACGGTTGCTGAACGAATGGTTGTAAATCGAGGATTACCTATAGAAACTGTTTAATCCACTAAAAATGGATTGCCCAGGCATTTAAGATGCCTGGGCGATATAAAAAATTAATTAGGCATTTAAAGGAATATATCTTTGCTAAGCATCTCTCTATTCCAAATTGGGGTATATCTTAACAAAGAATATCCTGTCTTTTGTTCATGCATAAAGCATGTATCCTTTATATGAAAAGGCTGATCAAGTTGATATGGGAAAAAAGACCTTTTTGAGTTATGCAGATTCAAAATATTTTGGACTTTAAAGATAAGTACCAGAACTTTGAACTGAGTTTGGTAGCATGTAAGCAGCCGCAGCTTAGTTTGGATAGGGTGACAGAGCCCATGGTAATCCACATTCTGGTACTTCCAGAATTGATTACTGTCATGTACAATAAGCTTCTCTGAAACTGGAAACTTCAACTAAAGCTGCACTTGCATCTATAACATATACCAACTCAGCTTTACAAATTAAGGAATCTCAAACTACAGTCTCTCTCTGGTCAGGCTTTAGCTTCAGTTTATTCAAATCGTAATTCCTAACATCCCTTTATGGTGGTCATGCTAAATGGGAATGATGGGAGCTGTAGTCCAACAGCTCCTGAAAGGTCATTTATCAAAAAAGAAAGATAAGCATGAGAGTTGTGGGGTTTTTTTTAGTAACTTCACTGTTCTTGTAGCTTGTTTTCTGCTCTCTGGTTCCCACTGCAATATGCTTACCCTATTAGGTAAATTATTTTCATGTTCTGTTTGTTTTGAACCCTTGTTAGTCTCCCACAGTTGCTTAACGAGACAAGCATACCAATTGATTAAAGAAATACAATTTATAATAATGCATTTTGCATAATAGAGCTAGGGCAATTTTCTAAGAAATGTTCTTAATTGAAGATATTAGTCTCTGAAGAAGTGTGGCACTGTTTTTTTTCCCCTTGAACTCCAAATGTGTAATGAAGTCCTTATGTTGTTTTGCAGGCACTACTGCAAATCAACATAAGGACTTCATTATATATTTGGAGTTCAAAGAAAAAAAAATTATTTAATTTAACTTTGGATTCATGATTGGATTGAAATAGGATTTCAAAGAAACAAAATGACCCCCTAGAGTTGGAATGTTCTCCACACATACATTCAGGAATTTAATTTAGTGGATATATGGAGGTAATTTAATTCAAACAGGCAGGAGTAGACCTTTTTATCTACCCCACATGGCACATGTTCAAAACTGAATTATTTTTTAATATCATGTTAGATGGTCAAGTTAGATAGTTTCAGTCTTAATTTCTGATCATGCACCAGTAGTAATGTCAATGAGTCTGAATAGAAAATTCCCAATTAGCAGGAGATTATATTTTAATATTCCTTGTTAGAAGAATCTCACTTTGTTGAACAACAAAAAATATAGTTCTTTTCAAATAAATAGAGGATCAATTAATTTAGGGATAGTTTGGGATACTTTCAGATCATTTATTCCTGGTAAGATAACAGCTTGTACTTTTTGGCAGAAAAAGACACAAGAATAAAGACATTGAAATGTTTTGAAGTTAAACCAACATTTTATTTATTGCTATTAATTTTTTTAAAAATACAACAAATTAAGGCAACATGGAATAAATTTGGGATAGAGAACTCAAATATCTCATATTGCTCAATCAGTGGCTTCAGGTCTGAAGAATGTTAAAATATGTTTCTTACAACTTAATTGGTTCAGATTTTTTGTTGTTGTTGTTGTTGAACTCAATGTTTTCAAAAAGTTGTCTCTTGCCTTATGTATGTAAAAAATTTGAGGGAACCTTAGTGTACCTGTTACGGTAACTCATTATAGTTGAATGATGGTGAACCAGGTTTTTGGAAGGTAGTTTATGATCAAATATGTTGATGTTTTGTTAAATTATATCCCCAAAATCTGAAATATCTCAGTCTATGAAGAACTTTGGATATATTGAGATTAGACTGTTGGGGAAAATATGCTTATATAATCCTAAAAGAATGCTTATGTCCCGGGCATTAAAAGTTGGCTTAATGAAGTTTGTTAATTATATAGAATTAATTAGTTTAATTTCAAAGGAATACCCAAGACTGAATAATATAATTTCATACAGTCTAGATTTAATGTATTGCTTAACAATTGAATTAAAATGATTGAATTTATATTTCACATTTATATAATTATAATACTCAAATAGCTTGATAATCTTTTTTCCTTTTCCCCCCCCTTGATTTATTCTTCTATGTGTAGATATAATTCAGCTTTCTTTTAAGATTTGTTTGACTAGTTGCTTTTTTCAATTTTTTCATTTTGTTCATTTTAAAAAATTATTATTAATTTTATTTGGGTTTTTAAGTAGTCTAGTTAGGGATTATTCTTTCTTCTTCTTCTAACTATATACTGTAGTTTATAAAATGGGTTAGATTTTTTCTTAAGTATATAGTCTTTTATATAGCAGTTATGTAACTATATAGTTTACAGATAATATTGTATATTAATATATAATGCTTTTTCAGAAATATTAATTGTAACATTTTTGAAGTAAATGAAGTAAATATAATAAAGCCCTACTTTATAAATGAGAGATAACAGCACAAGCTTTGATAAACATTCTTTTTTTCCTTCTCTTTTAATCACTAAGGTCAAATTCATGTTGACAATAAAATAAATGAAATAAAAAACCTTTTAGATCAAGGAAAAAAGATAGAAGGTGGACTCCTCACAACTCTGCTTAGGAGAAAAGAGCTTACAATAGAAGAAATTTACGCCAATATGACTGAAATGCTTTTGGCAGGTGTTGACACAGTAAGTTCATTATTGATTTATTGATTTAAATTATTTATAGCCTACCTTTCTGGATATTCATGCCCCAAAACTTCTTATATGCAGCATAAACAAATAAAAATAGAAATGCAATAAATATTATTTTAAAATAAATCTTTCACCTTTTAATATTAAATGTCTTTTATACTTATGAGAGTGGAAAAATTAGGGCATTATTTTAGATGCTTAAGGTTATGCCTTCTATTCTGCTCACCATAGGCCTATTTTTGCCTCCTACTGCACACATGAATGCATTATAATAAATAACTCTCACTGACATGGCCCACTTTGGGCAGCCTGTTTCTCTGAAGTTCAAGGTACAGCTCAAATGCCTATAGAAAGAGGTCCTTGAAAATGCAACTGTATGTGGGAGGTTTCCATGCAAGCCAGAATTTAGTAGTATTCTGCTTTATATTAAAGCCTTTGTAGGTACAGTTGTAGGCACAAAAGCATAGTTACTAGAGATGTTTGGTCATCAGGTGAAGAACATTCATGATATCTGTGATGTTGGACTCAGAGCTACTTGGAGAAATCTGGTTTGCTCATGTGTTTGGACACACAGTAAATAATATGAATGGGGGTATCCTAGATGTATTGGAATATGATGTTCTGATATGAATATCCCACAACCTGCAATATGGGATCTGTCCATAATATCACAGGAAAATAAAGGAAGAACTCTCCGAATATTTGTTCCCTCTAGAGAACCTATATTTAATACTGCTTTGATTATTTCTAAAATTAGATTCGTCAGCAAAAATAAATGCCACAATTAGATAATGATTTGGTAAAGGCAGAGTTGAGTTATTAGCAACAGTAAATAATTCTGCCTCTGCTGCTGCAGATAACCATGAAATTAAATAAGGAATACAATGCATTTTGGTAAAAGTAAGCTTAATTTTGCTTTACAGTGATGTATATATTAGAGACTTGAATTCTATATTTCTTTTTGATAACATTTATCATAGTATGAGCAAAAGCAAAATATTTTAGTACTATTTCACTGAAAAATCCACATCTGACAATTAAATTCATGCTGAGCTAAAGCCTGAGAGAAACAATAGGAAGTTGGGCCCTAGAATAAAATGAAAATATTTGTTACATCTCAGGCAAGCTTTTATGATGATTATCAGGAACTTTTTGTTTCCTCCTTTACATCCCCAATGCAGTCAAATGCATCAACTACTGTATTTCTATTTTCTATATATACATTATTGCTTTCAGGCTGAAAACAAGCTTCTGTTTAACCTGAAATGGCTGTGTCCTATACCATTAGAATGTTATCTTTACACCCCTACTTACGAAATTTTCGAGATACGACCAGCTCCGGCCCCAAAAATTTACCTCGATGTGCGAACTCCGCCTCAAGGTACGGCCATTTTTCCACCCTGACACGTCCGCGGCCATTTTTCCGTCCTGACACGTGGTCTGGGGCCATTTTTCCTTCCTGACACATGGTCCGCGGCCATTTTTCCGCCCTGACATGTGGTCTGGGGCCATTTTTCCGCCCTGACACATGGTCCGCGGCCATTTTTCCGTCCTGACACGTGGTCTGGGGCCATTTTTCCGCCCCTGATACGTGGCACGCGGGTGCTTTTCTGCCCCTGACACATGGCACATGGGCGCTTTTCCACCCCTGACGCGTGGTACACGGACGCCAGAACAGATTGATGGTAATTACATTGAACCTTATGGGATAATTTGCTTCGGGGTGCGACCAAATTCAGAGGGCGGAACGGATTAACCGTATTTACATTGAACCTTATGGGAAAATTTGCTTCGGGGTGCGACCAAATTCAGAGGGCGGAACGGATTAACCGTATTTACATTGAACCTTATGGGAAAATTTGCTTCGG